GATCATAATTCACAAGTTGCTCCTAAGTGCTTGCTAAGCTCTTCATAAAGTTAGGTGAAAGCAAGGCTCCAGTTCTCACATAGATCCTGTTTTTTTGGTTTTTTCTCATTTTTTTTTACTTTTCAGTCCACAATATATTATACACATTTCTTTCTTGGTTTTCATGCCATTACCAGTTCTTAAGGTCTCTTTGCAAAGGCCTGATACACTTCAGTATAAATGCTTTACCAGAAAAATCTGCTACTTCTGTTATTGCCTTTCACGTCTCCTTGTCCACTGCTAGTGTCTGCCCATATTTTATACGCTGTATTTAGTTACTCTCGGTCCTTCCAGTCTCTGTGTAGCCATTTATCTCTTCTTAACAATCATGTTACTTTTGGATACTGGTGCCGGTCAGTTTGCACGTGGCTTTGGACAGAATCAGTTATTCCCCTTTCTTCTTTGTAATTCTCAAGAATAACTGTGGCATATGTTAGGAATGCAAAACCCTCAGATAAGAAGACTGCATAAAGCACTCTGGATTTTATTTCTGTCCCTTTTAGGGACATCTTGACTTAGGAAGTAAAACCACCCAATTTAAATGGAACAGCCCAAGCTTTGTTCCTTTCTCCCCCGGAAGCAAGATGTCCTTCAAAGCTTTGCCCAGTGTGTCATGTGGCCCTACAGGTCTATAACCCAGGACGGGCTATATCCCAGGGTCTGTCAGCTGTGGTGCAAAGTGAGGCATGTGCATCAAGACTTCATCCACTTTGGGTATTTGAGCCTTGGGAGACCTGCTCACAATTGATGTAAGACTTCTCCCTGCTGACTCTATAAATAATGGATCCACTTCAAATAACATGTGCTGAGTGTATTCTTTCTCACTAGATTCAGACAAGTAGGTAAATGGTGCATAGTGGGCCTGCACAGTAGCCTAGGATGCAGTGGGCACAAGGCATGAACTCCTGCTTCTAGAGTTTGGCATAGTGATAATCTTATCTATTCTCCATAGAGTGGGAATCTTCTCTGGGGATTGGTAACTAGTGAAACTGCTTCACAATTGAGCCTCCAAAGAATAGGGAGTGAAATACAGTAGCTCCATGATAAACTGTATTGAGTACACATTGAATGCCCCACAGCAAGGCACATAAAACAAACACTCAAGTTGTAGGCAGAAATATTAGAATTTCTATTTATATTTTGTTATAAATCTCATCCTTCTATTTAGTACATTTTATGATGTAGATAACACTGCCATACATTACATGGATATGATCTTTGAATAGGGCTCTAAAGGACTCACTCATTGTTGTAGGGTAATCTCTCTTGAAACATAAGTTCTAGTCTGGCCACTCCGGTTTGCATGGCCGTTCTGCTCATCTGCACATGTGGACAAGCCTAGTACCATTGCCAGTGCTGGGTTTTCTATTCATTCTTTCTTTAACCAGTTATGATTGCTCTTTGTCATGATATGTAGCTCTCTAAATTGGCAAAATCATCTTAACGGAAAGAGTCTATTTATTCTGCTCCCATTTTGATTAGAAAGGGATAGCTTCCATGTAGTACACTGTTCTAAAAAGCTTGTTTTGCCTTGAAGAGTCCAAAAAAAAAAAAGTAGTACACAAAAGACCTCAGCCTTTATACATGATGCCTTCTTCTTCTTCTTTTTTGGCCGGGGCTGGGTTTGAACCCACCACCGCTGGCATCTGGGGCCAGTGCCCTACTCCTTTGAGCCACAGGCATCACCCAATGTCTTCTTATTCTTAAACCCTCTTCCCTCCAAACACTTGCTGATGTATATTATAAAAATATTTACAAATACAAGGAAACAGCAATTATATTTTTACAGCAAGAGAAAATAAAAATCATCTAAGGCATAATATATGATCCAAGATAGTTATATTTAGCTATAACTTCTAAAAACTGAGTCACATTTACAAGAATAGGTGAAGGGAGCTTGCTCTTTAAAGTTATGCTCATGTAGATACTTTTATAAAACAAAGAATCATTTTCCTATAAATGATCATTATTTCCTTGTATTTTATTATCCAGGGTATGCTTGAGTTCATAGTTTCACCAGGCAGTAAAGTTTTCCATCTCATTCCTTTTAAGAGGAAATACAAAGAGTATTTGGGGGCTCAGAACATTCAGATAAAGCTCTAAAAGTTTTCTACAAAGTGTTGACAGCATGCCACGCTCATTCAGCATTATTTTGCTGACTTTAAGACAGAGTGTCTGTGACCTTTGCCTGTAATTTTGCTTTATAATCTAGTGCCATTAGCCAGGCCATCTCTAACAGGGATTCTCTGTCTTGATTAATAGTATCTCCATTCAACCAGTTGTTTAATCTAGAAATATTAGTGTCATCTTTAAATCCTTCTTCTTCCTGACAATTTGTAGTTAATTAGTTGTCAAATCTTTTTTTTTTTTTCTTTTTTTTTTTATTGAACGGTAACTATGTACATTAATGCACTTCTAGGGTACAGTGTGGGGTTTTCACATGCAATCTGTAGTTGTCAAATCTTATAAATTGCATGCTCACAATGATTTCCAATTCTCTTCCCGCCCCTCTGTGCCAACTGCTGTGGACCTAGTTAAATCCATGTATCCTTTCCAAGCTGTAGCAATAATGGCTAACTGGTCTCCCTGCTCTACCAAGGTCTCCTGTCCTTCAGTCCTTCCTTCCTCTCTTCACAATGCTGTTAATAATATCTTCTAAGATATGCATCTATTTTTGTTATTTCCCACTTAAATAAATCAATTTCTATCTTTAGCTGCTATAATAAAAACCCTTCAAATTTCTTGGAGAGCCACTCAGGTGACTTCAAAATTATTCTTCAGAAACTTGGCCCTCTACTGCTCTTGGTCCCACACTTCATCAACACACCTGTTCTCTTCCCTGCATTGTCATGTCTCTTCTTTTCTCCTCCCTCTATCTGGACTGCCTTTCCTCCAACTGTCTGCATAATGTAATCTTCTAAGACCCGGCTCACATTTTGTCTTTTTGTGAAGCCATCTACTGACCTCTATGACAATGCTTAATGCATCAAATTGCAAGAAGCATTAGTTTGTCTATTCTATCAAAGCATAAAGTCTCCGAAGGCAAAAGCTTTGCTATTTTCAGCACCAAATGTCCATGTTTATCACACAGTCAATCCTCTGAGCAATAAGGTAGTTTTTTTTTTTTTAAAAAAAAACAAAACTAACTTGATTACATTATTTGCCATTTCACTGATACTTCTTAAATTCACAGATTTGTTTCTTAATCAAGCATAATCAATAGCTTTTCAAAGGCACTTTCTGGAGTCTTAATATTCTGGTTATTTAATTTACTGTTTAATCCTGTAGTCTGATCTAAATTAATAATAGTCCTGTTTTAGGCCTCCCAGTTTCTATAACCACAAAAGACAGAAAATGTCTAGAGTCTGGATGTTAAATTTGATATGACAAATGCATACATATATAAATAATATTTTAAATTATCTGCCAATTTTATTAGTATTTTAAATTTGCTAGCTAGTTTCCCATTTTAGAAAGCAGTTAAAATATTGTTTAATAAGGGATTTCAAAGGTATCTACCTAAGATTATTGCCAAAAAATCTAGCAGTTATTTCCTTTTTTATTTAATCTTGTAGTGGATTGTATTTGCTGAAATTTTTATAAATATTGTAATTTATAGTGTATGTATAATTTTAAGCACTATTCTATACAGTTGGAAATAATAGAAAAACTTTACATGCGTGGTGCCATAACACCAAAGCTTAAGTTATAAATTTGTAAAAATGAAAGAAAAGAAAAGAAGGACCTTGAAAAAAATAAAAATAGTTATTTTTCAATTAAAAATGAAATTAAAATACACTTTTTCTAAAATGAATAAATTATTTTCAGAATTGATAGACTTACTTTTTGAAATTTTCTTGCTCAAATTAAAAAAATCAATAGATACTGTTACTTTATATATTAGACAGTGAGAGATTAATTTATTTTCCTTAGAACTATATTTCTTTCTTAAATAAATTATTAAAAATCATTGATGAATTAATATAGAGCATTTCTACAAAGATAATAGAATAATGGTATAAAATATTCCTTATAATATTAACTTGCTGTATTTTGGAGTAACTGAATACAGCAAGTTTTCAAAGAATCTCATAGAAAATGAAATCAAAAGAAACTAAATTACAGATTACATCTTTTAAAATAATGTGTATGGTTAGAAAAGGAACAGAATAAAAATATCTTGAATAGTTTTACTCACTAGTTTTTCATTAAAGCTGACTATCAAATGAGACAATGGTGATAGTTTGTTAAAAAAATGACAGAATATGATTTTATAAATTAGCACTTTAAGATAAAACTATAGAGACTTTGGGATCAAATTTTTTAAAACAATAATCAAGCAGATCAAGAAATGAATTGGTTTAGGACATTCAGAGATATTAAAACTATGCATGGGATGATTTGAAATCATGTAATTTATAGATGATAATTTGTTCTAAAGTTTTAAACTTTTATTTCTGTTCACATTTTCCTCAGGTATCATTTAGTAAAAGGTACAGAGTACACTTACATGTCTCCAGAGAAACCTATGTTGCTCATTTTAAGATATAATTCCTTAACATTTGAAAAAAATGTCATTTCATAATCACTGGTTCCTCACTATCACCAAGTTGTTAGTTGATTATACTATTTGCCTATCGAATTCTATATGAAGGAGATAATTACTGAAGCACCAAAAATACCCCAGACAAAGACAAATTTGTTGTGAGAGCAGTCATGAGATGTATCTCAAATATGATATTAACGTCCTAGTATATGTAAGAAAAAATTACAAATATAAGTTTTAAATGTATTCAGCTAGGTACTCAGATAAAGCAAATACTTCTGAATTCAATAATGATGTTAAATGAGCAAAATGGCAAATGAGACCAGAAAATTGGGAAAATGAAACCAGAATTACTCTAATAACATTAAAAACAATAAAATAAGCAAATTATAATGGCAGAGGGCACATAACTTACAGTTGTTGTATAAGCAGCTTCCGGATCATCTTCTAGTACTCGAGAGAGACCGAAATCAGAAACTTTACATACTAAGTTGCTATTAACCAATATATTCCGAGCAGCAAGGTCCCGATGAACGTAACCCATATCAGAAAGATACTTCATGCCTGAAGCAATGCCTCGGAGCATCCCGACCAACTGGATGACTGTGAAGTGGCCATCGTGTTTCTGCAAGAGAATCACAGTTATTTAATTTGATTTATTGTCATGCAGTGTATTTATGTATTTAATAAGACCCTTAAATTTATTTTACTGGCCTAATGAAATGAAGGCCAGCATCAAGTTTGATGACCATTTACTATGTTCATAAAGAAATGTAAAAATTTGTTTGACATATAAAGGAAAGGGAACATCTAGTTGGAAACGAAGAAGGAGAACCAACAAAGGACAGAAGGGAACCGTCCAAACTAACTTCCAGAAAAAGTGATGTCAAAAGCTTTAGGTAATAGGAAGGGACTCAAGTCAAATAAAGTAACAGAAAGTATCTACCAAGAAAATAGATCCTATTATATTTTCCATAGTTGTGATCTTTAAACCAGTGGTACAGGTGGGAAGAAGAGCAGTAAAACCTAGGACTGGATGAAATTTGTGTGGTACCTAGGGACGCTATGAAAAATGGTAGTTAGGCCTGGTCACTCAGGAAAAAGGGAACATGATGGCACCTACAAAAGTTTCAAGAAGCTCCAAGAGAAAATAAACAAACATGCAAGCAAACAGAAAATAACTTGATTTTTCCATGTTTTCATTATATAACTGAAAATATAAAAGAAGCTCTTAGAAATTGGCTGAAAATGGGACTGTTTTAGCTTCTTATTAGAGAGGATTAAATTAAATAATATGAATAATGATCATGGCACAAGAGTGATGTATAGTAGTAAATCCCATTCTGTTCCCTCCACTTTGATTTTAAAATAATATTCTTTTTAAAAAGGAGTAAAAATAATTTAATTGTCATCTGTGCAACCAGTACAAACAGTACCCCTGAAATTAGAAAAAATGAAAATAAAAGTTCTGCAGTCTGAAAATAATGCATTTTGTTCTACTTAGTTATTTAGTTAGTTTTGTCTTTAATGGAGTTATAGAAAAGCATAAAAAATTCTTAAGATGTTTTTGTAAGTCAGGCCAAATTTATGAACGACATTAAAAATGACTATAAACGACATTAAAAACGACTATATGGCTATATTGCCTTATGCTCTATAGTGGAAGAACAAATAAAAGTACCTTAAAAATTTTCCAAGCTAAAGTAGTTTTCATGAATACATATCTGATTTTCAAACCATAGTGTAACTTAATCACAGGAATGATCTGACCATATCTGTCTTAGTGACATAGTCTCCTACACAATGATGATTCATTGTTCAGATAAATGAATAAGCTTATACTATGAATGAAATAAACTTCCTCTTACTATATTAACTTTTCTCCCATGTAACTCTGTGATAATATCTCCTAACTTAAGTGCAGAAGATGGAAAAGGCCACTCTCTTAAAATAAATATTCTTAGAGCAAGGGTATCCATTTATACAGGCTCTTCTGTATAATTAATGTATAAAAGATAACCTAGCAAAAAAAAATCTTTGGTGTTATTAGCTCTTTATGTTTCTAATCCATCTTCTCAGACAGGGCACTATTAGATGAAGTCTACATCTTCTATCATGTACTCACTTACCTTTCCTCTATTAGGAATTTCAAAATCTTTGAGTCAAATTGAAAATGTATATTTTTTTGTTCTATAATGAATTACACTAAATTTTAAAAGATTGTTCTTTTACCTATAAAAAATAAGGTTGCCTTGTATCGAAGTTCTTGTCAAGAAGAATTTCTAAGTAGTATGAAGTGTTAATGGACCCCCCTGAAAATTAATGAGTACCTCAGTTTCTTTATATGTACAATGGAAATAAAATCATTTAAGTCAAAGCTGTAGGGAGGATCCCACACATAATATACAGCTTCTGACTTATTTTAGTTAACAGTTATTATTTAACAAATCTTTGTCATTATTATTGTGTGTAGTTTTGGTAATTTTAATGACTCAGAAAAATCTCCTCTCACTTTCCTGAAAAATCAATTGTCAACATAAGCTCCTAGATATATAAACAGAATTAGTTATATAAGACTAGGTAGAAATTTAATTTTCTATCTATTCTGAAGGTGACATAAAGAACCAAATTACTTTTTAACAACTTTATGGAGATACAGCTAACACTATACATTTATCTCTTTAAAGTATACAGTTCAGTTGTTCTTAGGGTATTCACAGAACTGTACAACCATTATCAAAATCAATTTCAGAACTTTTCATCACTACCAGAAGAACCCCATACTCACTAAGCAATCACTCCTGACTCCCCCTATATCCACCTCCCACCACCATCCTAGGCAATCACAAACCTATTTTCTAACTTTATAGATTTTCCTATTCTGTATATCTCTTAAGCATTATAGAACCATAACATATAAGGTTTTTTTGTGACTGTATTCTTTCACTTACTATAATGTTTTCAAGGTTAATCCACATTGTAGCATGAATCAGTATCTTAGTCTTTTTATGACTGAATAAGTTTCTATTCCTTTTGTTTACCTTCATCAGTTGATGGATATTTGGGTTACTTCTACTTTTTGGCTATTATGCAAGTTATTTTTAATTAATTACTTTGAATATTTTTGTCATCAAAATTTGAAGGCTTGAATTAATTAATCTTCACTTTAACAGCATGGCAATCAGGATTTTAATAACAGTGGTATCGTTTAAAAAATGAGAATTTGGTTTATGAAGAGAATCTAAACTACTTTCTCCGTGTTCTGTCATGGGACTAAAAAATGTGGTATAGTTATTTCTAACTCACTTGGCTAAGACATTTTCAGGGGGCCATGAAGTCAAAACTATTTCAATAATAATACATAATAATAATATAGCCTATAAAACTGTGGCTGGTAAAACTGTGGGAAAATCCCTTTCAGGAAGAGAGGAGAACTGGATGGAGTAGCAGAAGTTAAAGTGCAGCGCATTCTCTACAAAGGCCTCATCCATTCCATGGGCTGCTCTGGATCTGGAGTCACCCTTTGGAGTTGGTCAAAACTGAGGGAAAAGGACTGAGCCCTTCTGCTCCCATAGCAATCAATCACTGGGTTCAGGTTGCCCCTGTAAAGGGGTCCTGGCCTTGGGTGAGGCGGCTCTCTCCAGCCCAGGGTTTTTCTAAAGATTGAAGTAAGAACTATCAGCACCCCAAACTCCAGAAGCTATGAGAATAAGGGATTATTCTTCAGAGCTCTCCCAATAAAATATCTGCATGTAAATATCTGTTTTATATGCTATTCCCTGGCAAATCCATCCTGTGACAATCTATTTCTCTCTCTCTCTTTCTCCTTCTCTATCAATCATCTACCTACCCACTTACCTATTTACCTATCTATTTTTCACCCTTCCATCTACTGCATATAAAAGGTAGGCTTGATGAAACAAGCTCCAAAAATAGTTCTGTATTCTTTGAGGAATGCGTATCTTCATTCCTGCCACCTTATTCTAAGGAAATAAATAGCTAACATTCATTAAGCACTACAAACCAGTTGCAGGCTAAGCTCTTTACAGGTATCTCCTTTACTGATGGAGTTAGGATTTGAATCCAAGCAATCTAATTCCAGAGCCTGTATTCTTATCTATTAGAGTTTCTGGAAAAAAGCAGAGCTGGACCAAATTTTACCTCAGTCTGGGTTAGTTTGGGAAATATCATTTGGCATAATAAAGCATTATCTGAAAGACCTCAGAGACCATTAAGCCAAAAATAAATAAGAACACTCCTGACAAACCAGTGGGCAAGGATCCATTCATCTATGTCTGGCTGAGAGGAATAGCCCCATTCATTCATACATAAGGTATGGCACAAATCTATTGCTCTACAAATGATGCAATTCTCTTTTTCAAATAAAATCTATATCCCTTCTTCTAATTCTTGTCAATATAGCCTCCTCCAGTTTGGTTTACATGCTGGGTTCCTTGAATATGGTGGATGGCTAATAAATAGTGACTGTAGTATACTGGTTGCTATTGCTATATTATTCCTATTGTCTTATCTAAAACAGACTGTTTTCCTAAGCGAGGACACAGGCTTTATCCCTTTGATGTAGCATTTCTATTACAGCATCCACCATGCTGCCATGCATTGTGCCATAGCTCAATACATATTAATTCAGATTGAATTGAATCGTTTATGAGGGGAGGAGAAAAATGTGAGAGGACTGAGATTTAATATCTTTGGGCTTCTCACTGAAGATTAATCAAAAAGAAACTATGAATTTTTTTATGACGTATGT